GGTCTTTATGCAACCAGATGATATCACCTAGGGTAAAAATTAGCAACACTTGTTTAAATTTTATAAAATAAAAAAATTTTTTATTAATTAAATTGATTGTGTAATATAAATAATTCTATCTCAAATAAAGCTACCCAAGTAAAGATTAGAACTATTTAACTATTTAAAAATTGTTCTATAGTTCTAGATAGAATTATATTAATCATAGGCTAGAATTATTTTAATACTAATCAAATTAAATAGTTAAACAATTAAATGATTAAAAAAAAATTAAATGATTTCAATTCTTATATTCAGGTTCTATCTGACTTTATTTTTTGGATAATCTACTTAAGTTCTACTTAGATTCACCTATCAGATAACCTATCTAGGTTCTACTCAGGTAGTCAATAGCTTATCTGTTAAATAATCTAAGTAGTATTTTTTAGATAGATATTACTATTAGTATACTATATACCAAGTATATACTATTACATAATTGTATACCAGTATATACTACTATATAGTTGTATACTAATATATTCTATATAGTCATATATTAATATATACTAATATAATATATATAATTATATGCTAGTATATATTAGTATATTCTATATAGTTATATACTTAATTTAATAAATATTTAAAAAAGATTTTTTCTTATTTCAAACAGATAATAAATAATAAAGTAGACAATAAATAATAAATACAAATATATTACAGGTTTTGATGATCAATTTCGGACACTCTTATCAAGAATGTATTCACCCCAAATAATAAATTCTATTTAACAAATATTTAAGAGTAGGTGCATTCTTGATAGGGTGTCCGAAATTGATAGTTAAAACCTGTAATAAAAACAAATAAATAATATTCTTTAAAATATTATTTTCTAAATATTCTTTTAATATTTTTTTTCAAATATTCTTTTAATATTTTTTCTAATAATTTTGTAATATCTTTATTTTCTTTAAAACAAGTAAATAAATTTTTTTTCTAAATTTTTTTTAACTCTTCTTTATAAAGTATTACTATAACAATATATATTTTGTTTTTGCAATTTAAACAATTGTATTAATATATTTTTATTAATTATTAAATCAAGAATTTTACTGTTTGATAAGTATTTTACTAATTTTATATTATTTTTTATATAAATTGTAGACTATAATTTTGGTATTATAAACTCTTTATAATTAATTTTTTAATTTAGCTATTTTATTTCTTTGATACTTTAAAAAAATATAAGTTATAATTATATTATTATAAGCTCTATAAATAATTTTTTAATTTAATTATTTTATTTTTTTTAATTTTTTAAAATTAAAGATTTCTGCTAATTTTTTAATTAAACAAGCTTTAAAAGTTTTAATTTTGTTAAGTTTAACTATCAAATTAGTATAACTTGTAATTATATTATTTTGATTAGTATAAATTATTTAAGGAAAATTATAGATGGCGACCCATCACCATGGTGACCTATATGATCAACCAATCACATTAAAGATTGATTGATCATGTAAAAATACGCCATTTTACTAGGCCGGAGTTCCGTTCTAGATTTAGATTAGATCTAGATATGTTTTTTTTCGGTAATTTATTTATTTTTTTTTATTTTTTTTTTCATTTCGCGATCTTTAGATTTTTTTTAGGCTGCTTTAAATAAGTATTGACCAGTTTTTTTTTTTGCTTTTTTATTACCGTCACTAACTTCTCTCTTTTTTTTTAGGTATTACATTTGAAATCGGCTTCGTGAAAATACTACTTCGACTAATCAGCTTGGTTCTGAGGACGGAAAATCGTTAGCAGTGGCACTATGTGAGAATACTGCCTTACCTTCTTTAAATTTTGCTGGGGTTGAGATGCAAAATAGGACTGGGGCTGGGGCTGGTCTTTAGATAAGTACTGGCCTTTTTTTTTTCTTTGCTAATTGTTTTTTTTTTCACTGGTACTAATTTTCTCTCCTTTTAGATATTTCTTCATTTGAAACCAGGAGCTGAGAATGCGAAATGGAACTGGGCCGGAGTACCAGTATTTTTTTTTTTTGCTGGTTTTTTTTTTATTAGTTTGGTTTTTTTTTACAGATACTAACTTTTTTCTTTCTTTGGGCGCTTTTTCGTTTGTTATTAGGGGAAATAGGTGCCAAGCTTCACTTTTACGACTTCGTTGCGTTGTTTCAGATAAGTACTATGAAATGGGGCTGAGACTGGTTTTTTTTTTTTTACTATTTTGTTTTTTTGTTATGTGTATTAACTTCTCTTTTTCTTTAGGAGTTTCTCGTTTCTTGTGTCTGTGCTTGGTGCTTTCTTGCGTCAGTGCTTCGGTGCTTTCTTGCGTCAGTGCTTTGTTGCTTCTTACTTCTTTGCTTCGGTGCTTCTTGCTTCTCTGCTTCGGTGCTTCTTGCGTACTTTGGTGCTTTCTTGTATTTGTGCTTCGGTGCTTTTTGCTTCTATGCTTCGGTGCTTTCTTGCTTCTTTGCTTTAGTACTTTCTTGCTTCTCTGCTTCAATACATTTTTGCGTACTTTGGTGCTTTCTTGCGTCTGTGCTTCGGTGCTTTCTTGCTTCTCTGCTTCGGTACTTCTCTGCTTAGGTGCTTCTTGCGTCTTAACATTGGCGATTTTGCAGTTTTGATTAGGATTTTTTTTTTTTAAATAAAGTGCGAAGTTGGTATCAGATATATAGAGGTTATGATATCATTATGCAGTAATACCATTTGACAAAAATAAATTAAATTGATGTATCATTGATTTTTTTTTAAAAAAATAAAAAATTTCGTGGTTCCCCAATGATAAATTCGTTCTTTTTTTTTGTTATTCGTTTTGTTATGTGATATTTTCGGGGTGGTCAACTGATCAAAATTGGTCTCGTGGGTCATATGTTTGCTGATTTGTGCTTCGTAAATCGGTAGTCATATGACTCACATGATCGATTTTGATTGGTCAATTGTGGGGTCGCCATGGCGATGGGTCGCTATAAAATAACGCCCTTTAATTAATATCAAGCCAAACTCTTTTTGATTTAAATTTGCGAAATTATAATAATTGTTAACAATAATTTGATTATAATACTTTTGACAAATAATATAATTAATTAAAAAAAATACTTAGAAAATTTTAGTATAAAAGATTAAAAAAAACAAGTTATTTAGCTACTATTAGTATATTAGTATTTTGTATTTTTTTTAGATCTAGATCACAAGATTTTAAACTAATTATATTATAGTAAAAGAGAATATTTTTATGGTACTATAGTACCATAGCACTATGGTATTTTAGCCAATCAAAATTTAAGATCAAGTGTAATATGTAGATCAGCTTTGTATAACAAAAACAAAGAATTTTTTAAAAAATCAATTATATCTCAAAATTTTGTCTATGAAACCACCTTTTGGGCTCTAATAAAAAAATTTTTTTGCAAAATTTTACATTAGTTTTTGTTTAATTCTAACATCAAAATTCTACCCTTACCTAATATTAATTTAAAAAAAACAAATTTTACTTTAAATAAACATATACAATCTAATAATTATCTATAAGATAGTACCATGGTACTATAGTGCCGTAAAAGTATTTTAATAGTAAAAATATATTAAGAAAAATTTTTTTAATTGTTTTTAAGAAGTTAAAGAATTGTTTTTAGAAAATCAATATTACAAAAAAATATTTAAATTAGCAAAATTATATTTTTATAGTTTATATAACAAATTATAATAAAATTAGATCAAAATAAAATTTTTCTATTTTTTAAGAAAAATTTAAAATTTTTTAGAGGCTAGTTTTTTAGTATTAAGGTTAATGTTTAGAATTAGAATTATTAATAAAAGAATATATATAAATTTTATAAGCTTTAAAGATAAGCAAAGAGATTTCTAATTTTATTTTAATTTGATTTTATTTTAATTTGTAACAGTTTATTTTGTATACAATAAACTTTTAAATTTTAAATCTTATTTATTTGTTGTTAAATACTTACTTGAATAGATTATTATAAATTATTTAAACTAGATATTTTTTTACTATTTAATAATATATTAATTTGTAAATTTTTAATAATAAATTAAGAGTGTAAATTTTTTTTGAAATATATTACCAAAAATACATATAAGCTAATCATATTTAAGAATCAATATGCAAATTATTCTAAAATCTAATTTTTAATTTGATATATTTTCTGACTATAATAATTTTAATTTAAATTAATTAGTATATATTTATTTTCTTAACAATAATATTTATTTGAAATTTTAACTATAAATTTAATTAAATTTTATTTTTTTATTTTATAAAATTTAAACAAGTGTTGCTAATTTTTACCCTAGGTGATATCATCTGGTTGCATAAAGACC